ATATATTTCGGCCATAACAAACCATTACACCTCAACAAACACCGATACTCAAACAAACCAACAGACAGGAGCTAATTTTGGCCAGTCGGTCTTGTCTCCGACGCATCGGCCGCACAGAAGGACGACGGGTCTCCGCGCAGAAACTAGATTTCGTGTTCTTCTCTACACTTGCACTCGGGACGACTGGCGCCATTCGGCGTTGGAGAGATTGGAAGAGCAGTTGCAGATCGAGGAATGGTTCGGTTGAAATGGTAGATATGACGACCAAATGGTGTGGTCGCCATTTTAGTGCCAGTCTTGTTACTCTGAGTTCAAGTGGTTTCACCAGGTTTTGTAGATGCTGAGAATGGTTGGGTTTCGAAAAATCTCCCGCGAGAACATTCATTTCGTGTGAAAGTACATGAAAAAGCGACTCGTAGTTTGATGGCACCAGAAGACGACGGCATATTCGCGTCGTACTGCAGCCTTTTGGGTGCAGGACCACTTTCATGTCGACGCAGTCCGTGAGACATTTGTCCTCATTTCGGCTGAAAATGCTCTGACCTTTCGTGCATCAAATGACGTACCTCATCAGAGCTGCAACTCATTCTTGTAAAAAAATGTCTGCTTCTATCTTGCCTGCTGTATGTACTCATAACTAAAAAACTGAAATTAATAGGCTGATTAATGAAAGAAAATTTGCCAAATCATTCTACACCCATTTATGCTGAAATGTTGTCTAAAACGTAAGTCTTTTTGCTCTTCAATCCCTCTTTTGTAGAGCCTCTTCTGGACGTGAAAAAAACAAGCAATCCGCTTTCCTCATTTTCACTTTAAGCGGAGCACCAATTAACTACCCTCGGGGGTTCAAAAACCGGCATTTCCTACATCAACTACGACCTTTTCGTTTCAGCTAGTTTTTCCATTTGAAATTTAATTTTTCCCAATTATTCTGAAAAATTTTCTCAGCGCGCTATTCCGACAATGGGGCGAGCGGCTGTCGTTAATGTCGCTCAGTTGGCTACCGTTTATTGGGTTTCGAAAAATCTCCTGCGAGAACATTCATTTCGTGTGAAAGTGCATGAAAAAGCGATTTGTGGCTCTTCTTACAGCGTCGTGGATACATGTTCGTGTGTGTATGCAACAACAACGGGTTGGTTGACAATTTTGGGTGCAAAAACATGCTCCAGCTTAGTCCTACTCAGTGGCTCTCTCTGTTCCCTTTCCTTCGCGCTCTCTCTCTCTCTCTATCTCTCTCTCTTGTTCTAGTTAACAGGCCAAACAGATGATCCTAGGATCAGGTTCGTCCACAAATTCATGTCAAGCGCTTAAAGATGTACTATTTTATCCTTTATTTAAAATGTGACCGAACCT